CCCTGCAGGCTCATCAACAAAACTGTAGAACCGCTGGAACTGCAGCCCCGGGTGGACAGTTCTGGGTTTAGTGCCCCGAGCAGCGAGATAACAGGAGCGGCTTACACTTCATCAGCGCCCTGCAGGCTCATCAACAAAACTGTCCTTTGCTGGGCAGGGAGGACGACAGCCCGGGCAGTGGAGGAACTCATCACTTGGCCTGAAGTCAAGCTGAACCTCAGACCTAGAAAGTGTCACATACCAAACTCAAAACCTTTATTACTCCACAGCCTGGCTTGTATTCCTTCCTCTCCATGACCTGTGGCTCAACTCCTCTGTTGTTGTGTAACCGTGAGCACACGGCCTCGTGTCCAAGAGGAAAGCAGACCTGGAGAAGCAGCAATACCAGTACCTTTCAGGAGAAGCAGCAATACCAGTATCTTTCAGGAGAAGCAGGCAGCTCGTCCCTTCCCCCAGCACAGGGACAAGTCACTCACACCCGAGGTGGGCCAAGGGGGGCTCTGCAGTCTGAAGGGGAAGGGCGGCAGGGGCTGAGCCCGGTGGTGAGAGGACCAGGACTCTCCTGCTGTGTGAGCAGCGGGAGCTGCGCTGCCCCTGCACGACAACCCAGCACCAAGCGCGAGAGGATGTCCTCTCCCAGAGGAGCAGCAGGAAAGGGCTCACCCTGCGGCCCCCTGCAAACCAGCCCCGGGCCCTGCGGTCACCAGGCTGCGGCAGGCACAGAAAGGCTCGCAGGGAGCCGTGGCTGAAGCGAGCCTTCCTGGGCAGCAGACCAAGCTCTGTCCTGGTTTCCGCTGAAGGGTATTTCCTGCAGTAAAGCATTCAAAGAATCATTTACACCCTCTCAGGGAAGATCATAACAAAACACCCTCCAAATACTCGGCTTGTTTATCGGATGATGAGTGATCACTTAAAACATCTGTCCCGGCAGCACTACACGCCCTTGGCCGATGGAACCGGGTCTGTTGATGAAGGCGATAAGCAGACAGGAAAACGCCCGACATTTACACTTTGCTGAGCTAATTTACCTTTACCTGTTAATGCTGTTCCTGACAACAGCAAAATCAAGAATCCACTGAAAGAGCAAGTGGCTTCACGGGTATCTTCAATACCTGTTATAAGCTGTGAAGTGTATTTGTCTCCAACTGTAGGAGACAATTGACCTGACTTACAGGACAGGGGTTTTCAGGCATCCTCACAACAGGAGCTGTGGAAATAGTTCTCTTGAACACACACCCGGGGGCACCTCCGAGTTATTTCCACGCCCAGTTTGGTGGATTCAGGAACGCGGAGAATGTGGGTTATGCTGCCCTCCTTGCTGCAGGTACGTATCAACACTTCCCTCGGTACCGGAGGTGGAGACCCGATGATGGATTTAGCTCTGTTCCACAACACCGCGGTGCCCACACCACGCAGAGCACAGCCTGCAGGACATCCCAGGGTGCAGATATGCCACACCATGCTGTGCAACGCCTCAGCTTTCCCTTTGTAATCATTAGCCTCTTACTTTCCTTTTCAAATGCAAATAGGCTAAACAGGCTCTTTTCTTTTTTACTGTATTTTCCTTCTTCCCGACCTTCTTGTGCCCATTACCCTGGACAGCGCGGCTGACTGACTGGTAGGCTCTGCCCCTCTAGCTTTGGCAGGGAAACACTCGAAGGAGTCAGCGCTCAAACTGCCCTCCCCGCACTGCCCCCAGCAGGGCCGGGTAAGGATGAAACAACGAACAGCCCCGTGTGGAGCTCAGGAAGACTCATGAGCTCAAAACTCCCCAGGCAAAAACTCTGACGTACCCATCAGCCCTCAGTGATCATCTTCCAGAGGTGTTTCCTTCGTCATTTAGTGAGGTTTTATTATTTCCTTAATACGTACTTAAGTGGCAGCTTTGCACATAGCACGTGTTAAACAGTGATTCATTGTGACACTTCCTAAACGGGTGTTACAACTCCTCGGTGCATGCAAGGGGGAAGGGACCAAGGCCAGCCAACAAACTCCTTACCAGTTCGACAGTGCAGGCAACCACAGCTTTTCTGGCAGAGATGCAGTAGCATTTTTTTGCTCACTTTCGAAAGTGATTTTGGACCATTCCATTGCTCATAAGAAACTTCAGAGTGAAAGATTTCCCTTCCTTTCTGAGCATCCCTTAGTGGTTGTCTGCAACCAAAGAGGTCTGAGTTGATCGTTCCCTAGCAGACACAGAGATCTATTCAAAAGGGAGGGCTGTGACTGAGCCACCTTTTGTTAACAGGGCACACTAGGAAATATTTTACAGTATAGATCAGCTCACTGCTGAACAGTTTTACAGATGCAATTCCTCCCTCCTGAGATCTTTGCTTTTACAGTAACTGTACTGGCAGACTTAAATCATGACCTCCTTTCTGCTTTTTATATATGTATATATTTATATATCAAAGCTATACATCTAGAGAAATCTTTTTCTGTGGAAATTATCCAGAAGTTGATTGCAGCCTTGCATAACCACACTGCTCCATAAAAAACATCAGTTCAATAGCACTAAGAAAAAGCAGAATCAGCTTTACCAGATACTGGTAAAGGAAAATGAGTCCCTGGAAAGGAAAAGAAGGCTACAAAAGTCTAGGTGGCACAGAAATACTGGAAATGGATTCATCTGTCTCAATCAGAATGAGGGGTCACCAAATCAGCAGACACCAAGTTTAAAAGAAGAGATGTTCACAAAGCAAGTGATAACTCACAGTAATTCCTTTCCAACCAAGTTTACATGGATTCTGGAAACAGCTGTCCAAGCACGTGGATAAAAAGAGAGCTTTGACCATCACCACACAGACAACTGACACCACACTCAGGAGAGCCCCAAGCACAGCACAACACACCTGGACAAGGTTGTTGCATCACCACATTTGACCACACGCAGAGATAATAAACGGAATAAATGCACACAGAAGTTCAAAGATTTTTCTCCTCTTTATTTAAACACAAATACATTTACAGCATGCAGGTAAGTTAAAACTATATGGCGTCTTCCCCAAACCAATTGTTTTAATGCATCTTAAGTGTACTGAAGTTAAATCAGATTCCACAGGTAGACTTGTCCTCATGTCAAATTTAGAGTTACACACAGTAGTGAGTCAGCATTTAAGTTATGCAAATAATTTAGTTGTTCACCAGAAATAAATATTATTTCACCAAGTTCCTATCCTAAACCATCTTTTAAAAATATGATCTAGAGGAACATAAAAATAAGAACCACTCAAAGACTGCAAGTTGAAACAGCAGTGTTGAACATTCCCTGTATAGACTGAATACTTTCATTTACAAAATACAGTAATTGTCCTGTCTGGCTGACCTATGACAGCCAAACCAGAAAGCAAAGAAAGTTGTGTGTTTTTCTTTTTTTACATTTTAAGAGGCAGTTCTTGGTAAACTTCAAAAAAGGTTTAAAATTAAAAAAAAAAAAAAAGTTTAAATATAAAAAGGTGATGTACACTGAGCTACACACTAGATACTATTTAATCTAATTTTTTTTAACACAGCAATTTTCAGCACCAAAACCCATGACAATTGCCTACAGGAATGAAACCCCCATTCACAGGCATGAGAAAAAAATCCTGCTTCATTTGAGTGTGTTGTTTTGTTTTTATGATTGCACATTGACAAATGAAGGCCTGAAAACCTGTAGTTAACATTGAGAAAGATAATGGACAGTGCTGATTCCATGATGAGAAATTTAATTAAAAATACTTTGTTGTTTCTTTATTTTTTTCCCTCAATATGCTGCCTTCAACTGTGCTCTAAAACAACTGCAAGTTTGGAGTGTTTGGTGGTCTTAGTGAAGAAAACTGTCTTAAAAGCTGAAAACTCCAAAACAGTGGGATTTCCAACTGATACACTCAACCTTCAAAAATCAAATTACTAAAAATTCAGACTACTGCAGCTATAGAAAAAAAGTGGTTCAAGGTCTAAAATTTGACTATACTCCATCATAATATAAATATTTTGCCTATTTTAAAATATAAAAATTGAAAGTGATTGGCTGTCTGAACAGTCACAGAGTTTCTACTGTTTCCACAATAACTGAATACCCAGCAAAAAACTCAAGCCAGAACAAAAAGTTCTATCAACCAGGTCTGAAAAACTCATTGAATTCTTCCAGCAATACTAAGTTTCTTCTTTCTTAAAGACCTGGTAACTAACTAGTTTCTATACAGAAGAAGGCTGTCCTAAAAATTATAGTGGCTAAACCCTATGAATAAGTTAAGTAAATTATACTACAAAACTTTAATCCCCGGATTCAGCTCAGTGAGAGTACCGGAGCTCAAAACAAACAAACAAAAAATCAAAACCCCACGTTTCATTTTGTTAGCCACTTTACAGGACTTTATTGCAAAGAGAAGAAAAATATTCAACAACTACTACTTTGGACATTTCATATACCTACTTACAAATGAATTACAAATACAATTCAGGGTAGCACTTTATTTTATTGTTATTTTAAACACGTGCCTCTGGCATTTTTGGATACATCAGTTTTAAAAAGTTGTGTCCTTTATTTACGTATCTGAATTAATTGGCCTGTTGCTGAAAAAGGCTTTTTAAATTGAAAATTAAAATTTTAGTCAAAAATTCCAGAACTGTATGTAGTGGAATATAAAGTTACAGTTTAGGTTGGCCTCATTTCACTATTACAATAGTGAAAGTGAACTGTCACAGACACAGACGAATGGCCAGACAGGCTCATCAGAATGAAGCAGAATGTTTTCACTCCACCAGACTGTACTGTGTGCAGAAGCAGGAACAGGACAGATGGGATAATCCATTGCCAAAGTCTTTTTTGTAAACTCAGGTTTACTCTTATGACTGCACAGTATTTAATTGTAGGTCACCCCCGGCCGGGCTCTGGCTGAGATAAGTTACAGAGGCTCGTTCTCACCGCACTCTGGCGGCCGGTGGTGCAGCCGTGCCGGCACTTGAGGATCCTCACCCTGTACAAACACAGCCAGTTCCACGCGCTGCGGCCGGTGGCGCTCGCCTCGAGGCAGCCGTGCCGGCACTTGAGGATCCTCACCCTGTACAAACACAGCCAGTTCCACGCTCCGTGCAGCATTCCTAAAGAGAACTGTAATGCAGAGTGCCGCCCTCATTCAGTGGGACACGTAGTGTTATGTGAAGTGATAAAAATGAAAGTATACTTAAACACTGTTGCACGTTCCCTAAGACAAGAAGATGTACACAAATTAAGCTAGAAAATTTGAACTAAGATTTTTCTCAACGTACATTCAGCTTGGCACAGTGCAGACTAAATTTAAGACATGAAAGACAAACTGTGTAATAAGCAGAGCTACACTTTAAGTAACATGTCATTTTTCAAGACGCCAAAATTGCACTCTAGTTGGTTTTTTTTTGGGAATCAGTTAGCAGAATTTGTAGAAGGGGGAAGAGCTGTACAGGCCAGGTATAATTTATACAATTTTCAAAAAATAATCCTACAGTCCCCAAAAGGAGAGATTATTGTCATGGAATGACTCCCTCTACACAATATCCAATCCTCCTCCTGCTGCATTTACTTTTCAGCAACTGTAAATGAAAAAAAAAGAAAAAATCACAGAGTTAAGACAAAAGGCAAAGTTATTTACATTTACAGTAGACCACATCACTATTTACATGGCCTTTAAGAGCCCAGTTCTTAAACCACTCAGATAAGTGCTAATAAAAATCCCACTTTAAAATAAGAAATCACACAACACACAAAGCATTTAAGCAATGCTGTCTGCTACCAGCACCACAAACTGCATGCAATTTTGACTGCAATAATGGAGTAAACATTACTCCAGAAACCACTCGGAGCCCAGCTCCATTTCCCATGACTGCTGCTGCTATTCCTGGCTAGTGGCAACTCCTTGGTCATTCAAGGCAAATGTTATTCAAGGCTGAAGTACCCACCAGTTCAACCTCTTATTTACTAAGAGACATTTCTGAACAAAACCAGGTACCTTGACTAGTACTACAGCCCTGTTTTCTCTGAATTGGAGAGAAAGCTTGGAAAAGTCAGTCAGCTAATGAAAAGAAACAAATAGAAACAAGATTGACATAAGCTGTTCTGGAGCCCTTCAGAAGAGGAGCACCCAGATTTCGAGCACCCCACTCCATTTTAGATGTATTTCAAACTGAAGATGCAGATAATTAACTAAGGGAATGCCTACAAGATATTTATAGACACATTCAAAAGTGAAGATGACAACAGAGAATATAAAGTACAGCATTACTGTTAGGTGAACAACAGATCAGCCAACTATAAAGCAGATATTAATTAAAAAGAGAGAGATGATTCTGTAAAGCAATTTAAACATATTTAGTACCATGCAACATGTATTTACTTTGGAGATTAGAGATGTTTTAAAGTAAGTGCACATTTAATTTCAATTACTGTAACTGCATTTTAGCTAGGCTAACATTTTAAGTTTACCGGACAAGGACATGAATTCCTCTGTTAAATTAATTCCAAATCACTGACACATGAAGCAGTGAGCAAACACAGTAAGAAAAGCAAATAAATAACAGGTAAAAATCTGGTAAAACTGAATGTTTTCCTGAAGAAAATCGTATTTGAAAAGATACTGGAAAGGCAAAAGAATTTAAAATGTCTACTCCTTTCCCAAACACTGGCTACTGTCTTTGACTGGTAACCATCTCCAATTGATTGCTTCCACATTTTGTTCTACTCCTGCACAACACCATCAGAATTACCATTTTACAGCAAACACGTTTTAGAAGAAAAGCAGCAGCATCTTTACTCAGGCATACATGATACCATTCCACTGGCTATAAAATTCTGTAAAAAGGAGGAGTTAATCTGACTGTTCAAGTGACTTTATGCCACAGAATGAACTGTAACAAACCTATCACAAAGTAGTTTGATCACATATTTTACAAAATGCTACGAGACGAGCTTACACTTTGTCTTGCCGTCCACCTCCGCGCAGCACAACTGGCTGGCTGTTCTGAGTGAACGCACCTCCACCACGAATTGCACTTGGATGAGTTGGAGAAGCTGCTGGATGCTGGCCAGGGCGGATAGGCTTAGCTGCAAGACAAGAAATGTGACTTACAAATATACACACAACAATAGCTTGGATTATTCAAATTTACTGATATCATTAGCCAAATGTAATAGTCACAATTGAATGCACTTTGCATAAGAAAACAAGTTTAGAGGATGGCACTCTAAGAACATAATAGATTAGTGTCAACTACAACAAACCCTGGAAAATAGAAGCTTGCAAAGCTTCTGATAAGGATTATCTTCACAAGAATTATCTGTGCCACCTAATGTATAACCTTCTATGAATCCTTTTTTGTTTGGCAATAAGAACTCCAATAAGACACAACACTAAGACAGCTTCCTGAGAGTTATCAGTAAGGAATCATACTTGCTGTCCTTCCCACATCCACTTCTTGATAAAGTCACTAGTTACTCTCCCTGCAGGTGGTTCTGTGTACCAACACTCCACAGACAACACTGCTTCATCAACCTACCAGCACATAAAAATAGAACTTACTCTATAGCCAAAGTAAAAATCCAGCAGTTTCAACAGGTTGTTCATAAGCTGCATACACTTAATAAACTGTATTTTCAAAAACATTTTCAGTTTTGCACTTAGCTCTTAACAGAACACACATAATGTATGTATAGGACTTCACAAAGTTCTGTAATATTAAAGAGAAGCACTTAAATTTCAGCAGGCAAAAAAGAATCTACAGGCAGCAGCTGCAGCAGAGAAACACTTCTCAATTACTGCCTTATAGGAAACTGATCTCCAGGAAGACATGACTAGACATTTCCATCTAGACATTTAATCACAAGAGGCTGTATACCTCAGGTGAGCTCACTAGAGAATTGTTTGCTTTCTTGGAGACCGCTTGAGAGAAAATTAAAGACACAAAAAAAAGCACCTGTCTGCAAGCTGCCACTTCATGTGACCAAAAAATTTGAACAATTTTGCAACAGCTCTTTGCAGACCTGCAGAACGTGAGCAAAATTTAACTGCAACACTCATTTTAGCCATATTAACATTGAAGAGAGTATACTGATGACTGAAGCCCTTCAGTTCTTCAGCTGTAGTGTAACGTGCACAGTTAAGTTCTCCACAGGTCACACATCTTCTCCATCCTCGGCACTCGACAGAGTAACGGCAGGTGGAGGAGCAAAGGAGTATCACTATTTTGCCTCCACCTTCCCACCCATTTTTCTGTTATTTTCCCCTGGAGAGGGCTGTGGATACTGTATATTTTGGAACAAAGAACTGAAAAGGTAATAAGCATCTTTGGATATTGTGGGTTTCTGTCTGCTCCTCTGCCCCTTAAGATCAGGTCAATTTTGTTGTTATTGCTGTTGAAGGTGATGGCTTAATCTTTCTGGTTTCCTTGAAATACCTCTTTAGTCTTAGAAATTGGAATGGAATTGGAATAATCTAAGAGATTAAGACTCACAAGCAGTGAGCGTACTGCTTCTTCTAGGAAATGTAACATATTCAGGCTAGAAATCTAGGTTGGTAAGCCTTTTACCAAAGCCAAATAAAACAAATAAAAAGCCAAACAACCATAAAGTACCACCTCCACACACCATCTGTTAACCAAAATATAACTCACAGTAGAACACAGATCACATTGGTATGTGCAGTTTCAATGAGGGCTGAAAGATGCACATATACACAAAACCAAACCAAAACAAAGTAGGAAAGATGAAGCTTTAGGGGGCAGGGGATTCTTTACTCACCAATTTGTGCTGAATGTCCTCTTCTGGCCATATTCTTGGATCTTACAGCTTCCTTTATACGATCTACTTCTTGCTGGTAGCGCTTGCGATCACGAGAAGCGTTCTCTTTGGCTTCCTTCAGCGCAGACTCCAAAGCTTTGACTCTTTCAGCTGTAGCTCTAAGTCGCTTCTCCAGTTTAGGAAGTTCGCAGCGCAGATCAGCATTATCACGTACCAGCTACAAAAACAGAATTGAGTATCTTCTTGGTATCTCCCTTCATAGAGAGAGCTAACCAAATACCCTCCTCACACCTGAAGAGGCAAAGCAGTAGGCTTACTGTATTAACTTTGCTTCAGCTTTTAGTGAATCTGTGGAGGTCAGTGTCATTGACACTGTCATTTGAAAAATCAGTTACTGTGGAAGAACCTGCTACTCAACAGAGGGACCTCTTCTATCTGAGACAGGCAAGCAGCCATTGGACTCATATATGCAGTCTAAACACAAACTTGGATCCCTTTCTGTTTAAATGCAGCTATTTTGTTACACACCCACATGTACTTGACACACCTAATTAATTTATGTTACAAAATAATAGACTAAAGTTTTCCTGTATCAGGAGACACACTTAAGATGTAGAAGTATTCACTTATAAAGGTTATTTTATGACCAACAGACATATTGGTTGCTTCTGTAATAATGGATCTGGAGTAATTTCATTAAAATTTGAACTGAAGTCTCACTGTACCTGCTTGTGAACCTTTGTAAGCTGTTCAAGATTATTCTCGAGGAAGGAAATCTTCTGTTTCTGTGCAGCACTGCCTCCTGTGTCATCTGAGTCGATCTCAGCACTCTGCAGTAATAAAGGCACAGGGAGGAAGACAGGAGGCTGAGTACTAATCTGAACTTGCATATTAAGTTCAAGCCATAAAAATTAAACCAAATAAACGTCAGATCCTAATTTAACTCTAAACTGAAATTCATGCAGCATTCTCAGAAACAAGAAGTTTAATTACAGCACCACATTACCTTTTTCACTCTAGTAGCCAGATCTTGAACAAACAGCTTCCGAAGATTGTGAAGAGTCTGAAGTTCTTTTGCCTACAGTTAAGGACAAGAAATTAACAAAACAACCCAAACAAACTCTGAAAGAAAAAGACAAATACTGACATTTGCTTTGGAATATATTCTGACTATCTTACCACAGTCTCTTCCAAACCCTTTAAATCTTGCCTCGCTTGCTCCCGTCTGTCCTGCATAACCCTAAAAGAGAATAAATTGTTCCTGAAATATCCTAAAAAATTCAGAAATTTTCTTTTAGAGAACTAGAGTAATTAACACTGTATGGTACAAATGAAAAAACTCTTTTGGTTGAAGTCTTAAATTAAAGATGTAACCAACAGATGACACTCAGAAATCTGTATGGCATGGGGGCGGCAGGATTGGAGGAGTTGCAAAAGGAAAAGAGGGATGTACTCTTAATATTGAATACAAACAAGTACGTTCAGATGGATAAATTATAAAAGTTTCTAGAATAGTAAAAGACAAGACTTTCAGAGTCCACTTTGGAGTGAATATTTGGGGAGACCTTATTCTACAAATGTTCTTAGCTGTGACCAGCTGATACAGTAAGTATCATGTGCCAGATTAAAAATTTTCTCTTTGTTTTCTTTAACACCTCACCCTAACACATTGGCAAAACCAGCATTGTAGACAACAATGTCAGTGTGCAGGAATAGAACCTGATGATTATCAGTGTACAGAGCTGCTGTCTTGCCAGTTAATGTGAAAGCATCTTCTGCACAGGAAATGTTCTTGGTCAGAACTGTAAGTCAGTGCAGTTACCATGACAAAATAGAGGAAAGGAATGTGGACCTTTCTTTTTATGACCTGAGATTAGAATAGAAAGGTCAAGGACTACACAAAAATGAAGTGTTCCTGTTAAGTAGTGAAAAAAGCTTCTTTTCCTCTTGGAATTTCTCCTCACTTAGTCAGTTTCACTACTAGCTCACAACTAAATGAGCAAACATTTGATCTAATAAAATATGGTAAATAATGTCACTATCCTATCCATTTCCAGGTGTCTCTAGACAAACAGGTCCAGGCATCCTCTACAACTTCAAATTGAAAAAATTAAAGTGAATAATCTGCATTGCTCCTGGTCTGTCATTTGCCATGCACATTTATGATATTCAGTACAAAACAACTGGATTCAAAAAGTCTAGGGGAGGACACAGAATACAATTTTTAGAACTTTGCAAATCCTTTGAAGAGGAATGTTCCTATACAGCAGGTGCTATAAAGTGGTCAGCTAGATGTAGCTGAGCCTGCAAACTGAAATAGAAAGCAATAATGTTGTATGCATAGCAAATCTCACAAGACAAGAAAATCTACTGTAGTTAATGTAAGTTTTGTAATCATTATGGCAGATAAATAAATCAAAATAAGATGGAATCACAAGACTAGAGTACTGTTAAAATTTTAGTCAGTTAAACAGGACAAACAAACAAAAAAGTAAAAAAAAAAAAAAAAAAAAGCAAGCATTGCTTCTTGGTTACCAGCACAGATCAATCTGATTGCTTCAAATGCCATGATAAAAACACCTGAAAACCACTGTGTGTTTTAAACACAGCCAAAAAGAACTTTTCAAAAAGTACTTTTAAATAGAACATATTTTTAGATTCTGTAAAGATAAATTTGCATGCACCAGGAAGGGGTTACAATTGATACACTTAGATTTCCAGGAGATTAAGGTCAGATTTCTAGAAGCTGAGAACTCTGAGTCTGACTTGGATACTTACCTGCAAGCAGAATGTAATTCCATTTTCCCACTAACTTTTGAGTCTCTAATTCACTAACACATTGTATTTAATCAATGAAGCATGCAACTGTTTAATTTTAAGAATAAACCAAATAGAGCCACCTAACAAGTTAAATCACATAAGAACCATAAAATTATTAAGGGAACACAAGAACCAGAAAAAGAGTAAGGGGAATTGTTAGAAGACTCTTGCAGTCTTACAGAATGCAATACTTAGCTGCAAATTGAAAAGTTAATTACTCCAATCCATAGCATAATAACAAAAAAACATTTGTGGCCTTCATACCTTTCATAATTTTGCTTCCTATTTTAAGTATTCATGCAGTGCAAAGGTTTTAAAAAAGGTTCAAGAAGGCCTCTTTACAAGCATACTATAAAGTGAGAGGCACTGCATCATGTTAAGTCAATAGTTTACAGGGTAAGCCTCCCCACACACATCTGTTTTATGCACCACTTTTATTATCACTCACGTAAGCTCATGAAGTTTTCTGCTTTTCTCCTGATCAGTGGCTTTCAGCTTCTCATGCTCAACTCTCAGACGTTCCTGTTCAAGCATCATCTTCTGGTTTTGGCTGAACACAAAGGAAATATTTTATCAGCTGAAACTCTCAGCCCATTCAGTAACAAAATGGAAGACAGAAGGACAGCTCTGGAGAAAACTCTCACCACTTCCTTCCACTGTACTGTGCTTCTATACTTGCCCAGTTCAGAGACATTTGGCACCACTAAAATAAAGACAAGGACTTACTCTTGAAGCTCAGTGATGAGCTTCTCCTTTGCATCAACTTCATCTCTCAGGCTGCTGATTTGTTTCTGGTGTGTCTCACGATGGCTCTGAATTTGTTGCTCCACAGCTTGCTGTTAGAAAAAAACAGACATATTAAATGCTCTGAGTTACCACCAGGCTTCACTCTGGGGGATTTGGGTTGTTAGGGTTTTCTTCTTTTTTAAGCAATGGAATTGCCTTACCTTGACTTCATTTGCAGTTTGAACTTTATTTAAGTGCTCTTTCTCCATCTCATGGACCTTTTCTAGAAGGGATAGTGAATAAAAAACACAATTCAGCCAGGTATCTACGCAATCACATGGATGATAGCGTTGATTTCCCCTCCCTTGCCAACACCTTACAATTTGGAAAAAGTGCCCTCCCACCACAAAAATTAATTAAATCATCTCTATCCTATCAATAGATCTCTAATCCTATCAATAACAGTTCTTTCAAGCAGTAAATATGTTTTACCATGGATTAATTCTATATGTTCAGTAGCAAAAAGCCTTTCTATAGCTCTACCTTTCAACCTAAACAGAACAATTCCCACTTTCCATTTATCACTGTTGTTAAAATGGTGGTGGTGGGTGGGGTGTAGGGAGGCAAGTCCTACCCTGTGCTCGGAGTTGAACTAATTCTTCATTAAGGGAATCCACAGATTCTTCCAGCTGCCTCTTTTTCTGTTCCACATTCTGAAGATATTCAGTCAGTGACTTGATCTTGGCTTCATGCTTGTGGAATGAAAAGATTCATTTGCTTTGGAACTAGGTACCATGGAATTACATCTGCATAAACGGTTCATACTTATTTTTTACACAACAAGTAACCTCATCTCAAAATAAAAATGGTGCCAGCTAGACTCTTAGAAGAACATGACCACTTAAGTAGATCTGTAATGTAGCCTTTAAGACAATGTCTTTATTCTGGGTTGGAATGAAATACATTTTTGGCTGAGAGAAGAGATGTTTTGAATGTTAAATACTAACAGAGGTAAAAGAGGCCCACTGTATTTAGAAGATTGCCCTGAAATGTGCATCTCCTGATTTTAAAAGAGATGATTATCTGTATGAAAAACAACATACAGAAATATTAAACTGTGTATTTAGATTACTGTTTTCAGAAGTGTTGGAAGTCACATTACTTATCTTTTCTAACGATCACATTAAAATGGCCTTTCTCACATTAGAAATAAATTTAATCTGCTATACAAACCTCCTGGAATTTTACTGTGCTATTACCTCTCCCACTTCCAGCCTGGGGCATTAGCAGGCAGAGTGCCCACTAGCCACTGCTTCTATAAGACTTGTATTTGTAAAGAATCCTGTGATGGAGAACACACGGGCTCCAGTTTTTAATACAAGTGCTACAAAAGCATTAGCAGACTACAGATAAATTGCAGGAATTCTGACATCCTGCCATGCAGAATTACTTAGCATCCAATCTGAGGAGAGTACTAAGGAAACAGCTGAGTCTTATGGCTGTTCACTCACAGTGTGCTTTGTTAGGTGCCAAAAAAACCCTGCAACTTTTTTTCCCCCTGAATGGTTAATGAATTTAATTTAAAAGAACACTCTGCACTGTAGAGAAATAGTTACCTGTGAGATCCGGAGCTGGCAGGCAGCCAGCTCCTTTTCATTTTCTTCCATTTTCTTATTGCTTTCAGCTTGTGTGCCTTCTAACTGCTTGCAACGTTTCACCATTGTTTTCACTTCTGATTTCATCTTGCTAATGTACAGTCTTGCGACGGTGAATTCTTCATCTATCATGCCAGTTCCCTCAGGCTGCTGAAAAGGGTGGAATAGCACATTTAGAAAGCTCACATAACAAAAGTGAAGTAACAGTGCACTGGAGCATCTTAATGCCCAGGACACATCCCCAGCCTCAACTGATAACCACAGAACTTGATGGAAAAAAACCCACTTACATTTTGGCATTTAAGTTTTCTGATTGATTATTTAGAAGTCTGTACAAAGACAATGAATTGCTTGAAGAAGGAAATACCATTCACTATTGATTTCTAATACTGTTTACACTCTTGCCCTATAGCCATCTTCTAGACTTATCTTTTATTTCATATCCTCATGATGTTTTTAATATAAGTATCACCCTGATCATCCCTGTAGGTGAATATTAGATTTCCAAGACAATGCTGTCGATTATGACCACTTCCTACAGCAGTTTGATAACAGCAATGAAAACACTGCTTCAGAAAAAAATCATACCTGCTCTTCCCTTGTCTATGCATAATCAAATTCTGTCTGGGACCTAATTAAGTCACAATACAAGCAATGGAGAAGCTTATGTCCAAATTACTAATACAGATGAAGTTTCCTAGGCAGTAATTTTTACCATACTAAGAAAATGCCCCCACCTATCCAGAATGCATTTGTTTAATATATGGCATTAATACTGAAGACAGCAGTGATTAACTCTTACCTTGACATCATTATTTCCTACTGCAATTCCAATCTCTGCAAGATCTTTTAGTAAGGAGGCCATCATTTCTGTTGCTCGTTTCTTCTGATGGTTGGTCATTTCTTTAAGTTTTTGAAGCTCTGCATCTATACTGGCTAAAGTGACCTAGAGTAAAAGAAGTTACCCTTAATTAAACAAAACACACTCTTGTTCTTAGAACTAGTGTCATACTATTTACGGAGAACCAGCATTTCTTCTGAAAGAACTAAAAAGTACAGGGGACAGAGACCTTCAACTCACAAAATCTTAAAATTCTGCAGCAAAATTAGTGTTAACACTGTTAAATAGCCTTTAGAGTTATATACAATTAAATATTTCTGGGAATCACATTTATAGAAAAAAGGTAAATGGACAGCAAGTTCACCACTTTCCGCCCTATTCTGGTAAATTAAAACAATTTCATCCCTATCTGCAGAGCTTTTAACTCTTCCCTACTTGCAAATCAAAAAATGAGAATACTCTTCCAGTACTGACATTTCATAAGCACAACACTTATTCTTGAGTACTTTTTCAGCTGGTTTGAGCTGCTGTGGTTGTAGTGGCTGCAGCTCAGCAGCTCGCATGCTCAAGAGTCGACTATTTGTTGTCCAGTTTTATAAAAACACCAGAAGTTTTACAGCAGGAAAGTTTCAGGCAGAGATGCCAAAGGATGGTTACTGCATGGGTTAGCAGTGCCAGATTGGGATGTCTTGATTTTATGACACCTCTGCAGTTGCTTTCTTGCAGATTGAGTTATTCATGACACTCAGGGGATGTTAGTTATAATATCTAGAATCAGTACCTATAACTAAAAACTACATCAATAAAGCAAACAAAAAAAAATCAAAAACAAACCATACACTTCAGAATCATACACACACACAGTGCAAGCCTACTCCAATAGACTTTAAATGTTGCTCATAAGACTCTGACTTTCATAATTCTCTGACTTTCGGCCAATCTTCAAGTGATGTAAGTGACCAGTGAAGACTACTGAGTTCAGAATACTCAGAAGTTTAAAGAGAAGGTTCATGATCTTCTGAACTTCAATTACATCACAAGTGTTCTACCAAGTCAAATCTTACTAACTGAAAATTTGGAAGAGACAGCCACTACCAGACTCAGACTCTCTTATTATCATCTCATTATCGAGAACAGAAAGGAGTGAGACTTGTGCCATTAATATTGTCTGCAATGCTGGCAAACATGCTGATCCTTTCCAGTACTTAGAATTTTAGGACAGTAGGTAGAGTATTAACTGCTTAAAACTGATTGGCTGCCAAATAACTGGCTACCAAAACTGTCAGTTCAGAAACTTTGCAGGGATGTAAGGAGGTGCACAGTAGCTTGTGAGACTGATGCTGCATCTGTATTTTAACAAGGGTTATCTTGTAGAATACGTCCCCAACTACTCCTTTCAGAAAGTAAACCAAAAACTGCGTATTTTTGAAGGCATCAAGGTAAGTTATCTCACATTCCAAACACACAGCAGGCAAATACACATTCCTTTCAAGAAAAACTGTAGCATGCTCACTGCAACTTCAAGATTGGAAAGAGAAGACACTTAAGTCAGGATTTTCCCAACTGCACCAGAAAGACAAACAAAACCAGCATGTAATGAAAGTGTTAAGTTTTGACACCTAGGACATTTCTGAACACCATTCAGGTGGTAAATGCCACAGGCACTAAAGACAAGCACTATCACGGTCAATAATCACCACACATTTTTTCTTAAGTTTACAGGTTTTAGACAACCATTCCCTGCAAAAACTAAGTAAGTTTTAGACTTAGGATCTCATTTTCCCTTGTGAAACACTTTCAAATGACTAAGAAATATAGGTAAGGCAAGAAAGTCACACTGAAGATTGTCAGTAATTTCTTATCCTAATTTCATACCGATTTTTGATTGAGTTCATCACTAAGCAGTTCATATTCCTTTGCCTTATCTTCTACTTCCTGAGACTTCTGATCATAGTTGACAGCTAATTCTTCAAGGGCTTGTAGCACCTCTTTCACTTCCTCCTTAGAAGCATCATTTTCAGCCTGAAGGCGATTCAGCTCTGCTTGCAGGTTGTCTTGGTCCCGTCTGGTTGACGCCAGAAGCTGCAACATTGACAGAGGTTTAAGAAAAATACAATAATAAATAATCATGAAGAAAATTCCACACATACCTTGATTTTTATTAATGCTTTTAGCTGCTACAGTAGCTTATATCTACATTCCTAGTGACTAGCTTCATGCATAAGGATACCGAGAACAGAATACAATGAACAACTAAATTAATAATCTATATTCACAGTTCTTTAAGTTTTTAAATACCCTAAAAGTGGAAGTGATTACAAATGAAGACGTATAGGAGTAGCAACTAGAAATGCCCATGGAATATTGCAAGTTCTCAAAAAAGCCACTGAACTCTACTCATGAGTCTGAAATTATCAATAATCTAGGGACTAAACTTCAAGCATTTTAACACTGTTAGCTGCTGAAGAATAACTAGACAAAGAGTACAATTCCTAAAAAAGCAGATATATTTATTTAAATTAGATTCAACAGTAGCTCCAACTTTCCTAGTCCTTGGCCCATTTCCTTCTAAATATGCACACAAATATTACTTTTTTAACATTTGTGCTATAGAGAAATAATTTCACTAGCATTTTGGCTAAATGAAATTTTCACTATTAACAGGAATTTCCCCTCATTAATTTATATCCCTGGCAACATATGCATACAAATAATTGGAATATTCTAGCAAGTATGGTGTGAATTAACACATAGATACTTCCTTTTTCATTATGGGACAATACATTTCCCTCCTCTCCCTTCTCTCTGTACAGCAACTGACCAGAAGTAAACCCTAAAACAGATTTCTTACATTCAATCAAGTTACCTTAAGTTTTGACAATCTGCTAACTCTGCATATGGAAGACAACTGTGGCTGTCTTTGCATAAAATACTTCAATTCTTTCAATCTTCATGGATACTTAAGATCCAAGTAAAGCTGGTTTAAGTCTGGCCATCAGCACAGTGTGGGTGGGAGGAATGAACAGGCAGAACATTTAGACAAGGCATAGAAGAGAACTACTGTGCAGCAGCAAGCTGTCATTCTACTCCTTGGTCAGAAACTGTGACCTATTCCAAATACCACCAACTTCTTTCATGGAAAGACAATGAAAATAAAATATAGATGCAAGAGCAAAACTCACCTCTTCCTGATCCAACATTTGTGTCTTCAGTTTTTCTACTAGTTGACTCTGCTGATTAATTTCTTCATCCTGCATTTGAAATAAGACTATGCTCATTAAACTGACAAATACCACTGAGAAAATAATCTACAAGACAGCAGACGAGTTAGGTATCTAACTTTTCTCTATTCCAAGATAATTACACAACAAAGCAATAAAAGTAAAAAACAATTATTTTCACTGGTTGATTCATTAGGCTCTTAACCTGGCATGTATGTGTAATACACCATGCTTCAGAGACAAAAGTCTTGTGCTTTTGCAAGTCTTCTCCAAGTTGTTCTAACTTCCAAGGAACAATTAATTGTTAATTAAAATATTTTTTTCTATTAAAATACAGTACTACTGCTTAAATTTGATTTTATTTATTTCAAATAAAATATCCAAAACATGAAAAGAAAAAAAAATGTCTTCAAGTTACTAATTTTCCCACATTAATTGTTTTCCAACTAACAAACAATACTCCCTTAGCACCAGATAAGGGAACTTCGATTTCTCTTAATCAGAATTAAGAGGAAGCACTCTCAGCAAATACTTAAACAAGCTGAGCTAACAAATGACTACTGGCAAATTAAACACAGAATCACAGAATAAGTTGAGTTGGAAGGGACCCATCAGGATCATCATGCCCAACTATCATCCCTGTGCAGGACACCCTGAGAATCACACCCTGTGCCCAAGAGCATTGTCCAAAGGCTTCTGGAACTCTGTCAGGTTTGGTGCTGTGACCACTTCCCTGGACAGCCTGTTCCTGTGCTCATCCTCCCTCTGGATGAAGGACCTTCTCTAATATCCAACCTAAACGTCCCCTGACACAACTTCAGGCCATTCCCTTGGGTCACAAGAGTGGCTTCTCCTCCTGAGAATGCTGAAGACATATTATACAATAATACAGTTCAAGAGATATTTTCGAGAGATCTTACATTAAGCAAGAATGGCATACCTTGTCATCCAGCTGTTTGTAAAGTTTGGCAATTTCTTCCTCACATTTCCTTCTCTCAGCATCAGTGAAATTGCCAGTTACTCCAATTGTGGTAGCTGGTTTATCATTAATAACAGTAATATCCTTGTCCACTGCAAAAGCTTCTAAGTTGGCCTTCTCCTTGTCAAACTGTTCATCAACTGGTACCGTCTCCCCTTAAAAGTAAACTTTATTTTAGTACAGTTAGCCATGACATATTTCCCACAAAATTATCCTTGAGAAGTATTACATATTTACTACTAACAGTTTTACACTGTTAATAAGCAATTTAATTTGGCTGATTACTTGGTAAAAAAAAAAAAGACCACTAGACCATCCAAACAATTTCCTGCTTACCACAAAACACAGCAGAGTAACTGGATGAAATATGATGAGATCCAAATTATACATCAAACCTTATCTTCTAGAAAGTCACCTAACTGTCCCAGAAGACATAAAACTCTCTCTCTCACTTGGCACTGTTTTACTAGGTAGCCACATTTACTTTTACATTGCTCTGCTTCTAATTTAAATCTTTTCAGTTACAATTTTATCCTTTTATGTTCATAAAGATTTTTCTGATGAGAACACTTCACAGAGAAGAAAACAGAACATGTCAAGGCACTTCTCTGGTAAATTAAACTAAATTCCTCAGTGCTTTATTCAAAACATTTTCTGCAGTCCTTGGAAGGTATAGGCTCTTGCCAACACTCCAGTATCTCATGTTAAGTATAGCTCTTTCAGAACTGACATTTCAGGTGTGGCCTCATATCAGCTCTACGAAACAATAAAAAAAACCCCAACAAAAACAAACAAAAAAATCCCCTACATCCTACCAAACCTATTTCAGCAAACCCATTTTTTTCAGATTTGTATTAGGATGTGGTGCAGTGGTCAGATTGCAAAATCATCTTCTACAGCTGCCAAACTCCAGAGTATATCTGTATGACCTATGTTCTCCTTTTCTGAATTTATGGGTTCACTATTAACTTGCATTTTGCCAGCAACTTGAACTGATAAGAAGTTAATCATTCAGGAAGAATTAACAGGCACATATTTGGTACTGTCAGCAGCTTTGGGGTTTGGGTGGGTTTTTTGCCCATTCACATGTTTGAGTTTTAAATGAGGGCAAGATCTTGTGATATTGTTTTGAATCAGAAAACCAAAACAGAGGAAACATTTTACTTAGTTTCTGCACTTACAAATAATATGCTTTTTGTCCCCCAAAATTTTTTTACAATGTAAGTAAATCTAGTCCTGCTAGAAAATCAAGTGTTGAACAATCTAACAGGAACACACTTTCAGACATTTCTGTCATAACATGATTATTAGAAGTTATTTCAGTTGCAATAAAGTGAAAAAAAGCTGACTTACTACTCCAGCTTTAACATCCTTATTACTGCCTTGCATAGTGCTCTTAGCTATTTCTGGTAGCCTGAAGACTAACTCAGTGTGTGCTGTCTTGCCTAAAGTTTGCAGAATAATAATAAAACTGCTTCTCACCGTTCCTCCATCTGTTGAGCTCATTTTCCAGCCACTGTATGGTGTTACGCAGAGTCTTGTTTTTCTCTTTTTCCTTCTCATACTTTTTCTTCCATTGTTCTGCAGTGAGCTCCACATTGACACAGACTGTGTTCTTAATAGTCTTTGCTCTACACAGAGAAAACAAAAAGCTCTGAAACTTTATTTTTAAAGAAAGGAATTAAAGGTTACTAAATAACATGTTCACATATCACTAGTGAAAACAAACATTCCCATCTCTTCCAAAACCTTACTTCTATTCCCTATCAAGTTACTATTCTTTTAATTGGATTAGCAAAATTGTTGAAAGACAGAACAACACAACTTTTGGAAAGCTGAGAAATCTCAAGCTGATTGAGTTGGAAAAATTAAGCTGCATATCTTCATCTGAAAGAACTGAGGTCAGGACAGTTGTACACAGTTTTGAACAAATGATAGTATTCCACATCTAGCAAACACCGTCCTGTCCAGTGGAGAGGACACTTCTAGCATGCAAACCATCTGGCTTATCTAAGAAACAGCTCATTTCAACCAAAAGCCCAGTTACTAGATCTCCACTAACCAAAAAGGTGTTACAAGCTACTTAGGTAATGGCAGGGGTGAGTCTCTACATTCAGATGAATTCCATTAAAATTAGTTTTGGAGACAAAACTACAGGCAGTGATAACATTTTCATTAAGTAATGTATGGTTTTCACTATAGTGCCATACCTCACTCATCTCAGTATCCTGCTTTGTCTTCTACTACTGAATATCCCACTTCAAAATTCAGAACAGGAAAAAAGCTTAACAGCAGTTAAATATCTCCCTAGCCCTGCATTGACTCCTATAAGTACTCTTCTGCAAAATCTTAGGGAGACATTACTACAAAAAAGATATGATTTTCTACTATATTATACAAGTATTACATAGCTTCCAGTTACTGCAGCTGGGGGCTTCAGCATAAATTTGATATCCCCAGGAAGTTGAATTATTGTACTGGACTAACTGTAGTGGCTGAGACAGGAGTGCACTCTGGTAACTCCTGAAAACATCAGGAGGACAAGGCAGTGAAACTACACAGCTGCAGCTGGAAGGTACCTTCCAATAGCTCATTCACTAAATAAAAGGAAAAGACTTCCTACCTTCTAAAAGGAAACCCAAAACCTCCACTGCTGCAGAATGCAGTCATTACTCCACACTCACTGACTATCCACATTCTGCCAGATTTCCAATCTGGTCTATTTTGCATAATACAAAACTTCTCAGAGAAGACCAGTAGGAAACTATCTTGTTGGACTGAAGTGGGAGAGGTACACTAACATCAAAGCCAGATGGACTAGCAAAACACTGACTGGTTTTGTAAGGTGCTCTGCTAAATGGTGTGATTCAATCTAGCGGTCAGGAACTGGAGTATAACAAAGCAGCAACAGTAATACAATGGCAAAGAAAAACTACCTAACTAAAGTACTTAATTGGAAATGAGTATGTATAAATTCAGTTACAAATGACACAGGAATTTACAAGTATCATTTCAAAGTTTACTGGAGTGTTAGATACAGACCAGAGAACAGGCTCTCCTGGCAAATAAAGGATTCAACTTACCAGAGGAGAGCTCCTTCCTACCTTCTTCCTACCTACTTTAGGGAGGGCAGGGGACAGGGAAGTATTATAGCCCTTCAAGATTATACATTAAACCACAATTTGATGCAAATTACATGCTTCTCCTGAAAATACAGTCTTCAGGATCCTGGCTGGTTTAAGGATTTATATATATTATGAGACAAGACAGATCACAACACTCAGGCACATATACACTCAAGAATTACAGAAAGAAAGTAAACATTCTAATTAATTTGGTTCAAAAATCTTAACAGAGCAACTGACTTATTTCTCATTCTGCATTTATTCCTGTTAAGTCACGTACTCACCTCTGGCCGAACAGAAGAGTAGATTTCGTTTCAGATTCATTGTAAGAAGATGGAGAACAGCAAATAACAATAGTGGTTCTGCAATTACCCCCTAGTGAATCTTGAAGGATTCTGGTCATTTTGCTATCACGATATGGAACATATGTCTACCAAGGAAGAGGTTGAATGATCAGTCATGGGTTTTCAGACACATTTAATTTGCTGAAATATGAATTACACTTTTGCTAGGTATGACCTCCTTAGAAAGACATTAAATTCTACTTTAATTCATTAACCTTAAGACTGAAGATGCATGGGATGACAAGATTGTATTTCTATGTTTGGTAACCTTTAGAGCACAAGGAAACTTTCAGTATGATGCTCAGGTTCCTCAGCATTAAATGTAACTTATTAATCTTTACTGTCGATACAGTACAAGAGTAATGGCCATGCACTGGCTCATGTCACTGAGATTGGTAAGAATTTCTGCACAGTATGTTCAGAGATGCAAACTTGTAACCTTTAAGTAAAAAAAGACAAAAGAGAACACTTACACTGCTTTCAGCCAGGGCTGAGATGACATTTCCAAGAGCAGACAAAGACTTGTTGATGTTCTTGGCCTCATCCAGCACAGCACCTTCTGCTCCAGTTTTACTAACCTACACAATATTGCAGGACATTACTAACGAGACGCTGAGGGAATGCATCTTCAAAAAATATCTTCAAAATTTAAGAGAAAACTTATCTAATTTCCCCATTTATAAGTCAGTCCCCCTGACTTTATAAGGTACACATAAGCCAACTCTTAGTCAGACTTCCCCCAATTCACTATCAATTACTCATTCAAAACTCAGTGTCTGAAGACATTTCTCATATTTTTAACTGAAGTGAATGTTCTCCCTGCAAAGTACACATTTTTGTAGCAGACAAATGTACAATTAATAACTTCTACCACATAACTTCAGAAGTTTTTTAAAGTCTGTAAAAAAGATTAATTCCTTAAAAGTAAATAAACATTATGAACAGTCTGTCCAGAGATCACCTTAAAATCAAACTACCTCTTCCCTTAAAAAACCCTAACAAAACAAACCATAAAACCCAAACCACATTCCACTAGTAGCCATGGAAAATACAGCATAAAATCTTCACGAGCATAAATCTGTGAGAACAGATTTTAGAGGCATAATCTGACCTACATGAGTGCTCTAGGAACTTAAGTAGGTAGCAGAAACATGAAAAAAATCTGACCTGATGCCATTCTATCTACCCTGCATCTTTTCCCTCCAGGGCTGAATTTGACTTTCAGTTCCATAACCCTCCCTTTACTATTTCCACCAAGCTGTGACCATGACTACAATGAAAGAATTCTATTTTCCTGTGTATAAACTGATACAAGGCATCAGAAAACTCCATGTATTTCAAAGGGACTGAGGAAATGCACCAAAGTAAAATTTGAAACAAACACTGAAAAGAACTACAGAGAAAGGAGACCTGCAACCCAGCCCTCTTCTTTAAAGGAAAAAGACTCTAACTAAAGAAACACATTTCAGAATAAATATAGGATCAGAGACAACAATAAGGTCATAGAGCAGTGATGTAAGGAAACACAACAGCAAGCAGAAACATCTGAAAAAACTGGAGGCAAAGACAGGGATAAACCCAGAAGCAAAGATGAAAAGATCAGAAATCCAGCTTTTAGAAGACTAATTACAGGATATGTTTCCTTCCCTGCTTTAAGCTACTGACACAGGAAAGCAAACATTACCCATGTTAATCAGATTTTCACATTAAGAAACTTGGTATCACTACATAAGAAAATCCATACATTCCACAGCTATAAAACTTTATTCCTGTACCTGGCTAACCCACACATCTGTAACACTCTTTTTTTTTCCTCAGATACTGAAACTGAACTTTACCCTCTTTCCACACCCTAGTCCAGATTTACAAACCCTCCCTCGCAGAAATGTCGATCAGCTTAAAGTGTTTAACAGCCAAGTCAGCCTAGGATTCAGAAACCATGTTTCAATATCAACACACCTCAGAGATGACAACTGAACCATCAGTATTACACTAATGTAAAATACTTGACTGTAAAGAAAAAACACAGTTTCAGAGCAGAAAGAGAAACTTATAATTACCTTCTCACTACCTGCCAAGTCCACAAGGTAAAGTTTTCCACTTAGTTTCTGTTCTGTTTGAGTATTCTCTTGCTTTACATTAATAAGAAAAATACTATGACTTCGGGAGCTGTGTTCATTCATATCTATAATCCAAAATAAACACATCAAAAAGATTTGTACAACCAGTCTCACTTAAAACAACACCTTCCCACAGTGCAGCAAGAGATCCAAATCTAAGCTGTATAGTGTAATCTCCCAATGACAGCAGACCTAGAGGCAGAAAAACTAATGGTATCTAATTGGGTAAGAAAGACCCAGTTTTCCCTTGGGCGCCTATTTATATCACATAAGTTCACTCATTAGGTTTGCTAGCTTGTCAAACATGGATTTCACACATTAATTTACTTTATTAGAACAGGAAGTATATGTAGGTCTTGATAGGAGAGCCTTTTGTAGACTTCCAGTGTACCCCATTTCATCCTTTTCTGAAAATTTTAACCGGCCACAGCCTTTCATCCCTGTCTTGTACTACCCCCTCTGCTATAAACATTAAGAGAAAACAAGACTTGTTGAATTTAAAGTATTATTTTAATCCAGTAACAAAATTTAATCTGAATGAGAACATCTGGCCATTTCTTCTTCCTTTTAAGCATAAATCTCTCACAGTTCTGAAAGTACCAGCTTACTGATGTAAAAGAAGCACAGAACACAAAATAATATTCTATCTAATTTTCTTAGTGCAGTCCCCACTTGAACCTTTTTACTTAGGAGCAATGAAGCAAAACCACAAGATTGAAACATTCCTTAAAAGGTACATATTATTTTTATTTTTGACCCTTAACCTAAGAAATGAGAAGAAAACACTTATATTTTCTTAATGACTGTATAACCTCTCTTCCTGAACAAAGAACTAAACACAGGAAGATTGTGAAACATCCTCAAATTGGCTCTGAGACTTCTGACAGTCACCTCAAAGAGATCAAGTCTTACTTTGCATGCACCTACCTCTTCCCTTGTCTTCTCTAACCCCTCTGTCATTTCCAAATCCTGCTTTTTGTGGGAATTTGGAGACCTATGGCACAGCTTCTTGCAACTCAGTTTCATGCTACACCCAAAAATCTTGGGATGCTGTTTAAATCTGCAGCAGGTCTGAATTCTGATCAGCTGCTCTTAGAATATGCAACAGAATGATCAAACTGTGGACGAGCCACATTTAAGAGATTTCTAGGTTAATTGAAACAAATTCCACAAACTGGGATTTTGCACTATTCCTAAAGCAGAACTACACCCTTTTCTCCAGTGATGCATAGCTCCTCACTGATGACTTACTTTCTCCTTTCAATCCCAGTCTAAGCAACATGATCTAACCAGAAATGAACTGAAAATACTTGTTTCTGAAAAACATACTGAAAATGCTTATGCCAGACCCTTTCAAACACCTGAATTATTTAGCTCACTATCTGTGCCTCCTCTACTTTTTTAAGGCATACCAGAAGCAAAGAGATAAATCACTGAAAGGAAACAGAAGATGATACTTACTCGTAACTGCTACGTGTCGGTTTGATTTTCCTTCATCTATAGTATCCATAACTTCTTCTGGACTACATACAAAACGCTCTGTGCAACCCTTTGGGAAAAGAAAAAGGGAGGGGAGGGTTGTGAAAAATGACACCACATAAACAAGGCACAAGTAAATGGGGAACACTAGAAGAATGCAAGATGAAAATACGTCAGACTGATGCTCACCTTTACATAGGGAACTCTATTTTTGTCCTCATGAACGGAAAGATTGGTCTTTGAAACTGGAAGAGAAAACATTCCAAAGCTAAGGCAAAAGTGAATGAAAGCACTGTGTACAATGCATGCCTGTCCCATCAATGTCACCTCTTAGCAACACCTGACAAAAACATGTAAGAAAGCACCACTACTGCAGCTTTAATAATACCATCCAGATGAGCTCCGTGCTCTCCCATTATGATGTACCTTTATCGTGCAAAGTTATTAGCATAATGAATACCCAAGGAACATAAGGGGCTTTTTAATGTGTCCCTTCAGAATAACTTATTTTTTATGTTCAATACTGATAAAAGTCTTACCATCCAAAAGGTCCCTTATTTTATCCAAGTATATTTCAAAATATGACACCTAGAAGTAAGAAGAGGAAAAGAGATACATCAGAAGGCAAAAATGCTTTGCTTCTTGATCACAAGGATTCAGCATGATTACTATGACCTCCCACATAACACTACATCTAGCTCAAGTTCTTAAAGATGAATTAAAATGTATCTTTAAGAAGAAACTGTTTTGATCACAAGTTTCAATCACTATCAGCACTGCCACAGGTTATCATCATAGTTTCCATCAATGTTGAATGGAACAAAATGAAAGTTTTAACATAATTCTTCTTTAGGAAAAATCAGTTGCTTCAGTAATAACTCAGGTTATCAGGTTTCCAAGTTACAGGCATTGAAACAGATACAGAATATCCATTTACACACAGACTACCTTGGAGTTTTAATACAGATTAAAGTAAAAATGAAGAAAAGTTTACCTTAATATGAAACTCAAGATTCTCATCCATGGAGTAAATATAATTAAAAATATCTTGCACTATTCTTGGAATAATGCCCATTCCATCTGGGTCATGAAGCTTCCCCTTAACAGAAAAAGACAGAATGTCACAAAAAATTCATACTCAATCCAGCATTACAAACAGTACTCAAACACAAAACATCCAGTTCAGTTTAACAGACAAAATGCAGACATATATCATGCACTTACTCCATGAAGTAAAGTAAGCCCCACAGCTCCCCAAAAGTGAAAAGAACAGCCTCAGAACTCTCCCAAACTACAACAAGTAGTTGTAGTAATATCAATATACTATTGATATTATTCCTGTGTTTCTCATCCTGCTACTGAGCATGAAAAAAAAAACTCACACTATTTGCCATTCTCAGTCTTAAAAAAAAGGGGTATCAAAATGTTGCAAGCAGAAAACAAGCTGACATCTTATTTCTACAAAGCAAAGACTATTGTAACAAAAAGACATGACAGTGACAGTAAGAGAAAATTATTTTAACATTTCTTACTTCCATAGTGTGTGTCTTTCCAGATGATGTTTGCCCATAAGCAAATATTGTACCATTGTATCCCTCAAGTACATCTAAAGGGAAAGAGTATTTTCATTAGTGTTAATTTCCTTCTTCTAAAGATGAGTTGAATTAAATAGAACGCAAGCAAGCAAGTCCTAAAATGCCCAGCAAGTTAAATCACTCAATGTCTGGGAACCTTGTGCTAGAGTTAGGGGGAGGGATGGTGCTCCTCCCTACATTTTTAAATGCATTTTGCCATTACTGACAGTGTCTTAGAAGTTGGCTGATTACAAGCACCTGTTTCTTCAACCAGAAAAATCAGGACTTCACATTTAGGAACAAAAAGGAAATCGATACAATTGCCAGGCTGAACAGATGGTCTTTGATATCTCAGAAGAAACCAAACAGGAGAACACCATCATATTTTCTGCCTTCAGAAAAGTTTAATTGTCCAATTCTGAAGAGAATTATCAACGCTCTAAGTGTCAAGCATCTTACTCTTAGGCCATAAGCTTCTATTTCAAATGATGAATGAACCAAGCAAAGTTTTAGACTGAGAGGTGAGAGGCTGGTGGGTTGGCTGGTTTATGTGCAAGTTGCTCTAGAATCACATCCTGCAAGCAAACTTTTATTTTCCAAAAACAAGCACGAGGAGATACTCCAAATGGGGAGGTCTTTGCCACTCCACCATACCCGTAAATCCATCTGTCTCACCCCTGGAGCTCATTTCAGCTTGATGCAGCACAGTTGAGAAATGCCACACAGAGCTCAGTCTTACATGGAGAAAAAGGGCTGCATTACAATTCTTAGCTAAATTCAGTTTTCAAGGAGCAACCTTCTGATCTGAGCCTGATTATTATTTAACTCATTAAAGGGTTAAATACTTGCAGTAGCATGAATTTCCCACAGCAATTTACTTCTCTAATGATGAAAAACACAGTATTTTTACCCAATGTTCTGTTGGTATTAACTAACAGTTGCTTTTTCAGGGATTTCTGACAAGGCTTTGTAAAGCTGTTTTGAAAGTTGGGTCAATTAGAATTTATTGATCCCCTCAAGAAATCAATCAATTTTATTTTCAGGGAACTAGCCAATTGCTTACTACAAAAACTTACTGTGGCATATCCTTCTCTGTGACAAGACTTGATTTTGTGAAGGTACTAGGCTAAATCTGAGAATTCAGTTTTGCACAGCAATAACTCATATTTCACAATTTTCATTTCCTCTTGCATTCCTCCAAACGAACTTCTGTATGATGTTTCTCACCAGTTAATTTGGGGGCATGGGGAGGGTAGGTGTCACATCTCAAACTTATTAGTAACAGTCATTATGTTTAATTTCTGCCAAATTACTTTAAATTGTAATTGCAGAGAACTGTAAAAAAACCCCTAAAACGTAACAGGTAAATGTTACCAAACGTTGCAATCAACTGAAACAGCAGATTAAGCACTGACATAATTTATCAGCTCAACTACAGGATGACTGTATGGTGCTACAATCCATGTTGGCACTTATTAAACATTCCAGAGATAAAAGGCAGCAATAGAAGTATTAGTTTTCAACACTGAAATCCACAGGAATATGAGATTTTCTTACAGTAAATTTGCCCTTCTACCTTACCTTTGACAATCTTTTTAGCACAGTCATTGTATACTTGTTCTTGTGATGTGTTTGACTGGAATACACGGTCAAATATATATGGCTTGGACTGTAAAAAAACAAACAAAACAAAAGAGTTATCAAAAAATGCTGCAAGTGGAACTGGAAGGTGTTTATTAACAGTTCAGAAGTACTCCACGCTGTCTCAGCCTAATCTTCTATTTTAAGCATTGAAGACTGTAGTGCGGAAATCAGCTTAAACAGTGCTGCCTAAAGCTTCACACGCTTGCTTACAAGGAAGGCCTTGAATTAAATGCATTTGCTTTCAAAGTGTTATCTACACAGCTCTGCAAAACTGCTCTGCCACATCACCTCAAGTTACTTGATTTACAAGGTAAGCCAATGCCTGGTCTGCACATCTAAAAAACCCTCATTCTCACCTACCCTGGTAGTAGATTTACTCTGGTAAACTCAGATTATTAAAAACATACCCCATGACACAGAGTACCTGTCTTGCCAGTATTTCTTGAAAAAAATCAAACCAAAAAGAAATATTCAACACAAACTACTGTGCCATATAAGACATCCTTAAAGTAAAGCTCCCCGGGCAAAAGAAAAGGCAATGCTGGGCAAGGGAACCTTTCACAAGACTCATTTTGGAAAAGACTACATGAGGAAGATCTGACAGAATGTTGAGAAGATCATTGGATATTGCTTTGTTTTAGAGAAGAGGTTCTCATAACAGTTCTAAGCAGCTGACAATCCATTAGGATATAAAAGATTACGCTCATCTTACAAAGCTCAAATTTTTGTCGCACTTTCAGAGCTTGATTTTGTAGGTAGCCAAGCAGATGGGTGAAGTTTACAAAACACCCAGGTCAGTTAACACTGTTAAGACTCCCTGCAACTGTTAAGTGTGCCATTCTGCCTAAATTTAATTCACTATCATCCTCCCACAAGGATATTCTGGAATTGCCTCTCCAGCAAAGAAACAAGTATGGCTTCTACCTCTTACCCACACACATCTGCCTTCCCTGGCCTGGCCTTCCATTTGTCTTTTAAGAATATCTAGCAACATACCAAACAAAGCTTTTTTAGACTAAACACATTTATCTGAGGCCTTGGAATCAGGTGGATGAGCACTCTCTTGGAAAAATAATTACAGTGTTCACTGTACAAATGTGTTCAGGAAACCACAAGACTCAGTAGGCAGAAACTGTCCCTAAGGGGCTGAAGTTTGTCAGAACACTTGTTCACAGCAGGGAAAACACCACGCTTCTCCATTACTCATTTCAGCTTCAAAGACACCTCAAGTCTCTATGTTCTGCAGGTAGAATTGAGGCTGTTAGATACACCAGGAGGGAGACAACTAACAAGTTAATAACCCTGAGGTAAGAAAATGAAGACTGAGAACACATCAACACCAAAAGGCAAAGATCCTATAGAAAAGATGACACCATCTTTCTCACTAGCAGCTGTAGTTTCAAAAAGCCTCCAATTTCACAGGTATCAATCAGCTGTACTACACACTGCAAGTCAGCTACACCACAAAACATTCATCAGCTCTGTTTCATGCTCCAGTGCATATTTAGATGCACTGAAATAATTCCATTGTGGAACAGAAAATCAAGCTGCAAGGCCTTACTTGGGCAGTATTGCCTTTAATTGACCTTGTTTATTTATACAGTAAAAGCTGCTAAGCACATCACCAATTTCAATTTCCCTCAAGTTAACAATTGATATCTATATATAAAACTTAATAATTTTGGCTAAGAGAATCCTCACAAGGGGTCCTGTTGTCATTTCTCCATCCCTTACATGTGGAAAGTGGAATATTTGCTCACACATCCTTATCTTTTTATCACACCTATGAAAATCCATATTAGTGGCATGTCCCTGCTCCATCATCACTGAGTCAGTATCTAATCAAGTAAGTTTAGACAAGCAGGTTCCAAGATAATTATGTTTTAAGAATGCAAATTACTCCCACTCAGTATGGTTTCACATCCTTGACATCTACAATGCTATGTCTTATCACTTCTCTTTACAGTCTACTTTCTGCAGCAAACAAAGCTAAAACAGTATTACACGGATTACCATGCCCTAGAAAGTCTCCTCATTACCTTCAGAGATTAATCAAGAAAGATTAAAGTGTCAGATATTTTTTGTGCACCAGATGCCTTTTCTTCCCCAAGCAGTAAACAATCAGATGAACTGAAGACACAAAAGGCCCAAGCAGCATTACTGCATGGTCCCTGACAGGGGTAGCAGCAGTGTCACTAACACAGTACAAGGCTGCTTTGACACAGAAACCGGTGCTCAAATTCTGTTAAAAAAATTAATACATATGGCCTTATAAGCAAGACATAAAATACCAAGCAAACAAGCAGAACTTCTAACTTCCTCTCTCAGAATCTTTTTGTTCCTTGCCTAGCATTTCTTTTGTCTGTAGCCAACCACAAGACAAGTGCAGCTCCCGCAGCTGCCTTGCACTTACAGGGATGTGGTCTCACAGCAAAGCTTCCCAAGTGCTCTCACAGCTTCAGAAAGGTGCAGCTGCCATGTGATTTAGCACTAGTTAAACCAAATCTTAACAAAGGGACGATGCTGAAGTACAGTTCCACAGCTAACTTAAAGACTAGTTACCCATTATATGAAAGCATGCTCAGCCAATCTAAATTGTACAAAATCTGGAGTACATGTGAGTTTCTGTGGAAAAGTATTGTATCAAAATATCCAATGAGGATTACAGAAAAATCTGCAATCACAACTACACTGAAAACTTACATCAAAAGTCCAAGAAATACTAAAGGCTGTCTCCATATATGTAATTTATTACTATTGCAACTTTCCATAAAGTACAGAATTGGTTATTCATAAGATCACCTGAGTTCACCTTACTTCTTATGCACTGATATCTGAAGCAAAGTCAGCAGTAAAAAATTTGCTTGAAAAATCAGTAGGATATTTTTCTACCACAACACATGCAGAAGCTCTTTAATGTTTTTTTGCTAGAATGGACAGTTCAAACAGTGCTACAACACCTACCCATGCTTAGCCTATTCCTGGTGAAAGGTTAAAGCAGTACATAATGGGCTTACTTTGCCTTTAAGATCTGCATCTATATTAAAAAATGTTCTTCCCATCAGCACAAAATATGTTAAAAGATTTATCCAAAATGGAATAATTTCTGGAAAGTATGATGTCAGACACCTGACTCACTTCTTCCTATTACTAAGCTAAGGTATTGCTGCTTTGACACACCTAATCAAGTCCAACACTGTCAATGGGTGAAAAGGCACAGCTACAAATTAATATTTTAATTTCAGGGTAAAGAAAGAGGATTTTCTTCTTGTCTTAGCTGCATGCACACAGAAGTGCAGCTGTTACAGAACAGTGAATCTCAGCTTTTTGTCCCCTTTTTCTTATTTCTGTGGAAATACTGCAACTCAAGTATTAAGTTTTAGAGCAGTTATTTTTTGCTACAGAATTACTAAAATATGTGATTTAAAACACTGACTAGAAACTCAATTTCCAGAATGGAAACAGAATATTTTTGAATAAATGTTTCAGCCAAACTTTTTACTTTAGTAGAAAGGTTCTTCTAAGGAGAAAAGCAAGTACTGCTGTTTATAAAAATGGTCACTGAATATCAGGACAAAAAAAACCCAGCAAATATGAGTGAGGTGTTTCTACACAACTGGCACTGCAGCCAGGGAAGAGAGCTCTGCTTTTGCAGATTCCTGCAAACCAGAATAATTCCTTTCTGTTAAATCATCATACCACTGTCACCTGAAAAGCACCTTTGTTTCTCAAGATTTAATGGAATGAAGTAAGAAAAAGAGGGTAACACTGGAATAATAGTTTTATTTCAGCTACAGATTGCAATTCCTGATTCATATTTATAGTTTCACTGTAGACCCGATGCCTTTTTCTTGTCTCTAATGAAACACTGATTTCTTTCTGCATTAGCAAATAACAATAAAGTTATTTTAAAGAATGCATTTAATTTCTTAAATCTATACAGTCCAGTACACCCTTCAGCATTTTGCTTTTGAAAAATCTACTACTAAAAGCTGCAGTAGTAGAAGTGACCTTATCTACCAGAGTCTAACAACCTTCTAACCTAGCCTTGTCCAATTAACAATCCAATAATGAAAATAAAGCCAAATGTCTCAAGCTCTTTCCAGGATCACAGGGGTACATCTTAAACAAACATGAAAGCAGAGACAGTAGCCATGATTCTTTTCTGAAAGCCATACAAATAAGGAATAGGCCATGATGGGTACTAAAAGCCATGTGGACACTGAGGCATACTGCCCATTTCTGACACACCCATAAGTGTGTCACCAGTGCAGCCCCTGGGTAGTGCTGCTTTTGCTTCAGCCTTCAGTTCCAAACCCCAGAGTGTCACTGCTTTCAGCAATGTATCTTCTGGGTAGCGCTAAGATCAACAAGACTAGATACAGAAAGGTTTTTAGAGAAGATCTATAGATACATTATGCAGAACTATAAAGCTACTCAGTTGCAAGCAGTTTTATATTTGATAAAACAAAGGAGATAAACCCATATCAAACTGCTCTTCCTCCCTGTTCTATCTTACTCAAAAGCCTGAAATCCACTAGCAAATTGCTATCAATTTTCACATACAGGTACATTTCTAATGTTTATCATAAAAGTCATATAACAAGTAATCCTATCATCTATTTTAACAAAATCCTGATACTTAATTAACAGGAGAAGCCATTAGGAAAAAATAATTAATAGAATAGTAAGATGGAAGGAAGCTGCCTGCAAATAAAAAATTAAAAACCCTTTACTAGTTAAAAAGTTTCATTCTGTGGAAAGAAAATACTTTGTTTCAGAGTCTGCTCTTTAAAGCAGACCAACACCCTATGTCCCCTCAAACTGCTGTTACACACTAGCTACACTTAAAACTATTATTTTATCTAACAGAGATCAAAATGACTCACTCGTCCAGAAAGACAAGGATGACACTAACTTCATAGGAGCTAGGAAAAGAACAGAAGACAGCCAGCTCAGAGATGACAGGGGAGTCAAGGAAGGAGGAGGGTTTGTTACAGTCACCGATTTCCCTCCCCACCCTCCTCCAGAGGAGTCAAATCTGCAGCCTGGGATCAGCTCTGCTTCGACCGTGAGAGGCAACTCCCAAGCGTTATTACAGCAGCCTCCACTGCTCCAGCCCCGAGCAAGAACCCACGGGAGGTGCGAGTCCTTCAGGCAGCTGAGGGAAGCAGCTATAAAAGAACAAAAGTAGCTCAATTACTGCTCAACAGGCAGCAACAAGGACAGAAACCAAAGAGCTGAGGTAACCAAACACACAGCTTGTGGAGGAAGCCTTTCAGCCACTGTTTCATGAGCATTGCTTCTGTTATCCTCCCCTGGGCAATTCTGCAACACACAGAAACAAGCGGTGCCTGCCTACAGGCTCAGGTTAGACAGTGCTAAATTTGTAAAAAATCAGTCAAGCTATCAAAAACAAAACTACCAAACACAAGTTACTGTCAACAGTTTTAGGGATTCAAGTCATAATTTTGAGGATACCAGTCTTGTAGCCACCATTACAAAGACAAAATCAGAGTATCAAACCTTTATTCAAATTTTGTGAAACAAGACACAAATGTCACTGCTACCTAATTTAATAATTTTGGGGGCATTTTCCCCCAGGTCAGACATAGGAAGTCCTGGATCCAGGACAACTGGGAAATATGTTGTAATTTTTACCAAGGTGAAATAACCAAGGTACAGCTGGCAACAGTAAACATCAATCCTGAGCAGAAAGCCCCACATGATCCCTCAGAAGCACACCATCAAATTGTTCTACTCAGATACAGAACCACCTCAGCACAATCTACATTTTAGATAATTTTAAAGTGCACCTAAAGAGTATTTTAAAAAGATAAGCTTTCATTTTTACCAGGGCTACTGAAAGAAAATTTATTTTTTAAGTCAGAACACATGAAGGTTTCTATACTAAACTGTGGATTATAAACAGACTATGCAGTGTCACAATGAATGGGTATTTACTTATTAAAGTGAGATTATCCACTTTAGTTAAATTTTCTGTTTTCCAGGACTGGCTCCTTACTCTGAGTTTACCTGTACAACCTCAGGAAGAAGTGGTGTACTCCAAGATAGTAACTTGCCAGCTGAAATGAGCCCAAATTACCTCATTTCACAAGCATGCTATTGTTCTTGTCACTCCAGACTCGTGGAATTCCATATTTTATTGACAAGTTCAGCCAAATATTAACAGACTAAAGCACTAGTATTTAGTAGCTCCTTTTACAAAAAAGTATGTTATTAAATTGCCTCCTGCAACTTCAGATACTGTGCAAAAAAGCTATTATTGGCAGCCTCAAGAAACAAAACATATTTTTAGACAGATAACTAGCCTCTAAATTACTTTCAGCAAGAACCAGAAGTCTCTCAGAAAATATGTTTACATGAAAACACAAATTAAGAGTTAACAAAACAAAACAAACACTGGGGATAAAGTGTGTTCCTACAACACCGACCAAACCAGGCAACAAACTACCATACTTTATTTTTATATTCCAGCTCCACTTTGTAGCTAGCTATGACCCACTGAAGAAAAAGGAAAGGATTATCTTTTCCCCTGCAACATCCATATTGTTTTTAACAATATGTTTTAGGCCTCATAACTTGCAAGGAGACTCCACTTAAAATACATTTACGAACATGTAGTAAGGCAAATGGTCTGTTTATTCTGATTTAACAACAACAGAAAAGAAGCTGTCAGCTGAAGACTGATGTACAGATCTTGAGCACTAATTCTCTGGAACCCGCACTGTCGTTCGGCGTTTCCAAAACTCTCCGCAGACAGGAATGGGGGGCAGCTCCCACGCGTGCATTCAGCAGTCCCACACGGCCCGGGGAGCGCCCGGCCGGCGGACACTGCGGGACTCGCCCTGACTCCGCACCTCGGCACTCGGCCTTCGGCTGCAGGCTTTATCGAAGGTCTCCCGCCCTGCCCTCACAGCCCCACACCTCTCTGCCCCCACAGCCTCCCACACCCAGAGCAGCCCACCCCGCCCGCAGCTGTCCCTGCCCCCTTTCCCCTTTGCCTCGGTCTCCAAGGAGGCCGCTCCCCTTCCCGAGGCGTCCCCGCCCGCAGGCGCTCCCGAGCCCTCCCGCCTCACAGCGCGCCCATCCCCGCGGCGTCTGACCCCGCCGACCCCTGACACCCCCTCCCTCCCTCCCTCCCTCCGTCCGTCCCTCCCTCCCCCGCGGCGCTTCCCGCCTCTCCCGCCCGGGGCGGCCCCTCACCGCGATGACGACGGTGTCTTCGCCCTGGAACTTAGCGATGTACTTGTCGCCTCGGGCCACTTCGGACTCGTTGAGGGGCCTGAAGCGACACATCACTTTGATGTTACACTCCGCCGGGTCCGCCATCTTAGGCCACCGCCGCCTCCGGGGCGCTCAGCTCCGCCGCCGCCAGCTGCCGCCGCCGCACCGCCCGCGCCGGGGGTCTCGCAAGCCGCCGTGGCCGGGAAACCCGCGCCCGCCCCGGCAGGAGGGAAAAGGGAAGGGCTCCTTCCTGGCCGCCGCCGCCGCCTCCCGCTCTCACTTCCTCCCCAACATGGCACCGGCCATGGCGGCTGCGGCCGCGGCTCCCACTCCGCCCCGCCGGTAGGGCGGGTGGGTGACGTCACCCACCGCAGCGCCCGCCCCACCCCCAGCCCCGCCCTGTGCGCAGGCGCGGCACCGCCCTCAGGCGGGCGGGGCGGTGCCCGCGGGGCCGCCGGGGGCGCTGGCAGGGGCGGGGCTGCCTCAGGCGGGGGGGGCTGCAATGGCACCGCCCGCGGCCGCCGCTCGCGTCGTGAGGCCATAAACTCATGGAATAGTAGAATTATAGATTTATAGAATCATGGAATCATCAAGGTTGGAAGAGACCCTTAAGATCATCAAGACCAACCGTCAACCCAGCAGTGCCCCTGTGACCCCTAAAGCACTAAACCATATCACCCAGTGCCAGATCCAGATGCCTCTTAAACCCCCCCCAGGGATGATGACTCCACCACGTTCCTGGGCAACCTGGCATCATCTACACAGAATCACAGAATCAGGCTGGAAAAGCAGTGAGGTGATCAAGTACAACGTATGACCAAACATCATCATGTCAACTAAATGCCAGATCCAGTGTTTCCTTAAACACATCCAAGGACAGCCACCATAGCCTCCTTGAGCAGCCCATTCCAATGTCTGTGAAGAAATTCTTTCTACTGTCCAACCTGAACCTCCTTTGGGCCATCTTAAGGCTAAGTCCCCTTGCCCTGTCGCTGGTTGCCTGTGAGAAGAGGCTGACCTCACCTGGCTACGGCCTCCTTTCAGGCAGTTATAGAGTGAAAAAGTCACCCCTGAGCCTCCTTTTCTCCAGGCCAACCACCCCCAGCTCCCTCAGGTTATCGGCTGAGGGCTGTAGAGATGAGGCCTTGCTGGCCACAGTGGTGAGGAGCATTGGGCATCAACACATGCTGCCACCTCAGTTCCGCTGGCAACGGGTGTCAGACAGGTGACATGGCCATGTCACCAAGGTTTCCAATACGGGTGCGCTGTGTGATGAGGGCAATCCATTTGCTCAGTGTGGCATCGGTAGTGTGGTGGGTAGAGGGAACCTCACATTTAAACATCTACCCCAGCACTGGCATGGCAGTGCTGGGGACGGCGCTGTATGTGTGACAAAACTGAGGGGCCGAGTGTTGAAGTAAAGGCTTAAAGCAGGTGGTTGAGATAGGAACCTATAATACTTGGGACTTTTAGTTTGTTTACATTTTTTTTTTCCTCTGCTAGCTAAAAGGGGGGAGATCCACATCCATGAGGTGGTCACATGGAGAAGCCAGTGTGCCTTCATTGCCTGCGTGTGTCCTGGAGCTGGAACCCAGTGAGTGGGATCAGAGAACACACAGCCCACAGCTCATGGTGTCACCTCCAGGATGGAGACTGTCATGACCTCTTCATCTCAAATGAAAAAAAGACCAAAAAACAAACTAACATCTGGACAGCAATTTTTTAAAGCTTAATTTATTGCAAGTTTTGTTTATGTGTTTATTACAGGGGCTCTAAATCTAGTTGACCAAAACTTAGTAACTGTATCTAGACAAAAACATCAGGTAAACCATTCTGATAGAGAGCCCCAAGAGTTTCACACTTTTACAACTGTGCCTCTTACATCCAGGCGTGAACTTTCAGATTGGAACAAAGTACAAACTCACAGCTTGGCTGAGTTCAGCCAGTTTCCTGACAGAAATCATGATTTGTACTGATAATTTTTCAAATAGCCTTGAAGATAATTTTAAGAACCTCGGAAAAAATAATAGGGAGCCTTTATCTTAAGTTAGTGTATTTCAGTAGGCCAGAATGACTCAGAAGAGCAGTATGCTTCCCTTAAAAGTACTCATTTTTCATTATAAAAAAGGGAGGAAGTAGTGTGAATTTTAACAGGGACTATCTGTAATCAGGCATCCCCCATTTTTAAGACTTCTCAGTTTAGGGATTTCAGTGATGTGTTTTTTACTTAGGATAGGTGTGCAAGGCAAACACTTCAAAAGTGCTCCACTTGACAGAAAAATGGCCTAATAATCTAGCTGCAGTTATAGGTTCTTTTCACAGAGTAACACAAGAAATATTTCTGTGCCTAGTTTATCTTATGAGGTAAGCTAAATCTTCTAAACCGAGTTCGTGTTGTAACAAGTTTATTTTTCCACTGTGATTAAAAATGCAGCAGGACTGTGCTGTCTTGTGCAGGGCAGCAGCAATGACGTGTCCACACCTCTGAGCACATGTGGAAATAGTTGTCTGGAAAAGCCAAGGTAGAGGCTCAGTCTGTAGAAGGTCCAGTGCTGGTCCACAACATCTAGCATATGAGATATACACAGACATCTGTCTACAGTTTTCAATAAAATGTTGTAAACATAATTGTTACTAGGTTTTACATGTCAGAAAACCTGTTTTAGTTGGTTGCTATTTTAGAAATTATTACATTGTATCTCAAGCAGCAAGATGTATTAATACTTCTATCTCAAGATGTATTAATACTTCTATCTCATCTATTTCTGGGGTTATTCACAAGCTTATGGCTGGCAATGTTCTTATGCAGCTGCAGGATTTGGATCCTGGAAGATTTCCTGTGACAGAAGGTTATTACTTTTATGAAAGGACTGTAAATTATTTACTACTTTTTCAATTAATTAAAAGGAAAAAGAAATATTAGCTGCATAATAAACAACTTTGTGATTATTATTCACAGAAATACATGTTTCAACTGCTGAACATCCTTTACCCTAATGTATTGAAGAAACTTCTTGTTATCCATAAGCAGAGGGGATGTATTTTTAGCTGCATTTACTAATGTGTAGTGCCCAATGTAAGAACATCTCAGTCAAAGAAGAAACCTCATAATTACATGATTGTCAAGAAAATAGGTGCTTGGCCTTGCTTGCCTGTTGAATGTTTGACAGAGCAGACACTCCAGAAAGACAAAACAGACACATGAGTAGATAATTACTCATTTTAACTATGTTGAAACAAAAGATGTCAGCATGTGTGAACTCTGTAGTAGGAACTGGCCACTCTGAAACTGTTGGTTTTGTGTGACCCCACAGGAGAAGTGGCTGGGATGGAGTCCCATCCCAGCTGTGGGAGCCCTTGGTAAAAGAGCTCTGCTGAACCACACGTGTGCTCTCAGATTCCTGTCAGAAACTCTGTCATGAAGTTTCTCTTCTCTGATCTGTTGTTCAAAATAGCAACAGCTCCTTGGCATGACCTACTTAAAGGCTGACACAACAAAGCCGTGTGCTCAAAGAGGGCACTGTGTTATCTCTGCTGGCGCCAAGAAGTGTCAGAAGAGCAGCCTTGAGGACTTGTGTTTAAAGATGTGGTCTCATGAGAACATGGCAGAGACCAAGCATCCTGGAAAGTTTCCCATTTTGTGGCAATAACAGAATGTGCTTTCTTTGCCAATTGAGAATATATTTGCTGTCTTCTAAGTTCTTATGTAATGTCTGTAGCATACATTTTTTGATACTTAGCTTAAGAGACTCTGTTTAAAAGTAACATAATGAGAAAAAACTATATCTCTGTTGTCATAAAAAGTGAGTTGTTCTGTTTGGTGTTTAAGCCTAGTATGCCCAATGTAGCTGACAATAAGTTTGGTAACGTTTCTTAGTAAAGACCAACGTCTTTTATTAAAGCAATTTATGTAAAGAAATTCTGTTGTTAGTTCAGAGACCATGTTTCTTTCCATTTATGAACTGTGCAATAAATCCCTACAAATTCTTTTGTGACTTACGGCTCTTTTAGATCTTCAGTCTTTCCCAGCAATAAAAACATGTTAAGCAAAGGGAATTGGCAAACCTAAGCCTTACAGGGAAGTTATATGTGGATAATGATGTAATTAACCATCAAAATTGTTCCAGCAGAGCAAAAGTGATCTTGATTTGGTTTTAAAATAACATTACATATTTGAATAAATCTTTAAACCAGGTGTTTGTGGAGAAGCAAATTAAAGCTGCTTCCTCCTGCCCTTTAAAATATTAAATTCTGAGATTCATCGGTTGACAGCACTTGTTGACATTCAGTGTGCCTAATGCAAACACAAGTACTCTTCTTATTTTAATTTGCAGTGCGCTGGGAAAATATCTTACATGACTTCTGAGAATTTGAGGTGCATTCCAGGCCAAATTTATTCCAGATTCACAAGTCAGTTTGCAGGACAAAAGGGTGATTAATCTGCCAGATACAGTGCACCTCAAACAAAATCCTTGGTTGCTTGTAGCACACTCTGTAAATAAAGGCTATTAAGATGACTTACAAAGTCTAGCAACATCACCTGACACTGGAACAGTATGATTAAAATGAACCAAATGTTATGGTTCAAACAGCTTGTGCAAATATATTTTAAATAATATAAATATATTTTAAGTCTCTTTACCAAGAGATTGTGTCTGGTCAACTCAGCTTGAAGAACTCACTAACTGGTTTATTGAGATTAGAAGGTTGGTGGATGAAATCCAATGGCCTAAGAAACTGTTGGAGTCCAACTAGATCATTTTAAGCTCTTATCTGGTTGCAAAACACTAAAGCTTCTTTTCGTTCCAGCAAACAATATGATATGGAATGTATCTCCTGTTCAAATCAAGTTTTGGATTTTTTGTGGACTAGGAGGATGAAATGTGTGTTGAGAGTGTTTCTGCTGAAACATAGTAACTTCTTGGAAAAACTGTAATTAATTAAAAAACCAGTTTTACTTCACTTTTTAGTTGGAAATGCATAAAACCTGAAAACCCTCTAATTTGTTCCTAATCAGCAAGATCATATTTAATATTCTGATAGCAATAGACTGATTAAAAGCAAAAGCAAGCTCTGGGAATAATGTCACATTTTAGATGTTTGTTTCAGCTAATTTGTGCAAATTCATGCAAAAAAATCTGTCTGCTCACTACCTAAAGCATTGATTCCAATTCCCTTTGAAGAAGAAACACACTTTTGGACCTTGTTTATATTCTTAACCATTAAAAACATCCAGCATATGTTGTCTGAAACATCCTGTCATAAATCTCTATTCTCTGTTGCTTTTCATTGTTTATAACCCTTACTAAACTGACCACTGGATTGTATCTTAGCTTGCTGGGT